AAGTACATTCATTCCACAGCCTTTCATGAAGGCTCGCCCCGACCAACCATGGCATCAAATGACAAACTGACGAAGCTTCCCCACTGCAGCAATGTGGCCGCTCAACACTTGCAACCTGTATAGAAATGGGGTCTGCTTCCCACAGAATGCCACTGAACTTGCAGTGCTAACAGGAGCTTTGTCAGATGAGCGCGTTAGAGGCCTGTCCATCTGCCTGCTGCACTGTCTACTCTGTTCACAGGACTCAGAAAGTCAGCACTGACAAAACAAGTCCTCACCAGTCTGAGTCTCTCGCAGGCACGCACACTTAAAATGAGAGTCCTTTGACATTCTGCTTTCATAGAGTTATGACTTGTTTACTCAGTCTGAAACTTTAGACCTCCAAAGCATAATTAAAAAATATAAACCATTACTTGAAAATGCTAAATTCCCCCGAGTTTTTGGCTTTTGTTTTTAAAATTATGTCAAATTGTTTCGCAGACATTCTGTGACATGAAAACATGCTGATGTGTTTAGGAAGTTATAATCCGAGGTCCGTTTACACAGACTGCAGCCACATCAAGCACGAAGACACGAAGGGGCACCCTGAACTTATCTACACACTATAAATTAATCACACATAACTTTTCAAATGCCAGTCCCCAAATTCACAGGTGGGTTTGGAAGTGTGTGAGGGAAAAGCCACAGGAAGGAAGTGCCACCACATACTGAAGGCTGGAGGGGCAAAGCCCCAGCCCTCCCTGTTCACCTGTGAGTGCCAAGAGCAGCAGCCTGGCTGGCCTCTGGGGTTGCCTGACAGGGGCGGGCTGGCTACACAGGTGGAATGTTTTACATGGAAACGATTCTCTGCTTTACGGCTGACCATAAAATGACCCACTCGTAGAAATGAAAATAAATGGCTCAACAACGAATCAAACTGGTTTCTCAAGGCATTATCATTGTAATAAATTTGTGGACTCTATACTGTGAGCAGACAGTGATTATTTTGGAGCAGGAAAAATAAAGTGTGGAATTAGTAACGCAGAGGCTGAAAGGCAAGTGACACAACCAGGAGAACGCCGCAAACAGACGCTGTTCCCTTCTCTACTGCACCTACACTCCAAGGTCAGAGGCCAGAGTAACCAAAGGCATCTCACCGGTACTGTGCACAACTGTGAGCTGACAACAGAAAACAAACCCCACTGTTATCTGTGGTCACTTTCTTCAGGGTTAGTCCAGGAACTCAAGAGTTTACATTCTTTTTTCTTTATTTGTTTATTTTAATTAAACACATAAAGGTTAATAAACAGACATAGTCCAGAGTTAGTAGGTTGGTATTGTAACATTTATTAAAATAATGCTATGGGTTAATAGAAACAGCAAAGAACCGAAGAATTAAAATGCAAGCTATGTAAAATCCCAACTAAAACCCAGAAGTGTCTAATGTATGCATTCATTAGCTAACTAAAAGCCCAAGGAAGACAGAACACCCAATATAATAAAGTACTGCAAAACAATTGGCAATTTTCAGTTATCAAAATTGTGGATTTTGCATTTTGTATCCTTTTCTCAATCAAGAAAAAAATTCTTTTTGAATGTTATATAACATACATATAAAACAAGATAGAAAAATACATTATAAACTTGTAACAATGGCTGTAAATACATTATCTTACATGTTTCTCATAGGCAATAGGTTGGTTATGGTACATACATAGCATGAGACTACTAAGATAATAAAGAATAGACAAAAAATACATGTCAGCTGTACGGTAACATACAAACGACACTCCCATCTACCCAAGCTAAAAAATTACATAATACTGTCAGGAAAAAAGTCTTAAAAACTACATACTTTAATAAGAAAAAAATTCAAAGAGTGATAATACTGAGAACCAAGGCATTCAGAGATTTCAAAAGTCATGCTTTTTTTTTTTCAGTTGATCCAAAACGTTGTCAACTAAGTTTTCAAAAGTTTGTTCAGAGCCAACATTACTCATAAATGTCACACATTTATTGTTTCATACATTTACTTTCTTCCCCATAAAAGACCTTTGATAAACATCTAAAATGTCCAGGTATAACACAGCTGAGATGAAACTGGATCAAATACTGGTGCTGTTCTACACTGTCACCTCAAGTGTTTGAGTGTCGCAAATTTATTCAACCAACCAACCAAAGTTACGAATCAAAATGGCACAGCCTATGTCGTAAAGAGATCAAAACATCTGTCTGTGTAATGGACAAAGCAGTGGCCCATTAAACCAAAGCTAGCGGAGTAGGAAACAATGACTGTCTATTGCATAGTAAATAAACTGAAAACTGTTCCAAGTGAGACAGAATAACGCAGAGGTCACCACGACGGTGCCGCCCAGCTTCCTGCTGACCCTGACTGTGAAGCCATGACGGCGTGGAAGAGAGCTTGAGTTGGTGAGTTAGGAGTCCACTGTCCCTTGAGATTTGCCACGTCTGGTACTGACCAGGTAATGATGAATCCACTCAAGTGTTTAAATGCAGGATTTGCACACAAATTGCTTCAACTACAAAACTGAACTTCACAAGAAATTGGGAGATGAAACTCAAATGTAGTTGAACATTTATATGCACAATGCTAGTCTTCCTGATTTTTTTAAGTTAAAAAAGGGGACAAAAAAGGTGTGTTCAGGAATGTTTACTAAGGTCACTAGAGCCAGCAGAGATGGACTACATAAGATATCTAGTATGGCAAAGTCTGATTCAATTTGGGTCACTTAACCCTTTTTCTAGAATGAAAAATTACAAAGGTTCATTTTTGTGAAAGTTTGCTAGGTATACTATTTTCTCCAATTAATAAGGAAAAAAAACCAATGTCTCCCTCTTCAAACAAAATAAAGCTCTAATTTTGTCTGTAAACTGATGCTCAGATCTTACATAATTTTTTACCCTCAGAATCTTTTGGGCTAACACTGAAGACTGCAATAACCAAAAATACTCCATTATGATTTGTAAATGAATGATGCTCTAAAATTTACTAGTCAGACATTAGAAAAGGTATCAAATTTTTCACAGTATCAGATTTGGCAAATTTGCATCAAGATAACGTGGCACAAACCAAACAATTCAAGCCACCAACTCCTCTATCTCCCCTCTACCCTCCTGCACGTACTGGGCGACTGAGGAGCATGCATTAACTTTTATTCTGAGGGAGGAGCTGATCTTACAAGACACTTGACAAAATGACCATGAAGGAAAATAAGGCACTTTCTTTTCTTTATACTTATTCCAATACTTAAAAATAAAAAAGAAAAGACAAAAAGGCTCTTTTGGTCTTTTGTTTCTTGACAACCACCAGAAAAAATCATTTAATGAAATAAAGGGTTTCTTTGTTCTTTTTCTTTTTTTTATAACACTTGAAAGTATAAAATGCTACATTTCCAAAAATATATATATTTTTTCTGCACCAGCACCCTTGTATAGTAAAAGTATCTACTTTTGTTCATTTGTTTCAATGCACTACACTTTATCTACAATTTCATTACATGTATACAGCAAATAGGCAAGCATGGCTTTTACATCCTTAATGATTTTTTCTATACAGGGAGGTTTAAAAAAAATATTTCAACAGTTTGCCCAGTAACGTGACACATAATGCATGTACCTTGTTCTCAAATATTTCTTAAGGTGGTGTAAAATAAGATTTGGAAATTTAACTCAGATACTCATCTCTTTAAAAATAGCGTTGCAGTTTTGTACTTTGCATTACTTTTCAAAACTCCTTGTTAAATTTTTCTCTCATGGCACACTTTGTTCTAATACTTCAAATTTTGGCAGGCAATATAAAAAAAGGCTGCAAGTTTTGCCCTCTGAGGGCACTGTAGTGACTAAACAGCGTATCAAATTTTGAATACTTTTTGAAATCACTTCACCAATGATATCCCTGACCGAAGGTTCATGCATGATGTATCATCACACAGTACATTCAGAGAGCTTTGACTTCGCTATGAGCAGGAAAAGATTCCTGGAAGTCTCTCACAGTAACTGCCTCTGTCATGAGTAGTTAGGGCCATCTGTCTCCCCTTCTCAGAGAGGCCTTCTTACCGTTCGCTTGGGGTGGGACATTGAAAGATGATCAGTGCTGCGGGATGGACTGGGCCTTATTGCTTTACTACTATTCAGTGCAGGTTCTAGAACCACTTTCACCCAAACAAGGGAAAAACAAAAAGCTGAGTTGGAGGACAACAATTTCTTTGTCTTTTGTTTGGTTAGATGGTAAGACGAACGGACAATGCCTCAGCTCGCTGCACTGACGACAGGCAAGCAAAGGCGATTACCAGTTAACTGATCAGCAGGCAGGCATGGTCAGGTCATCATTGGGTGAAGAGTTCAGAGGTCAGAAGGTCATAGGTTAGTTGCCGGTGGCGGCTGGGTGGTTAGAAACAAAAACAAAACAAAAAAAGAAAAGAAAAGATAGAGAAGAGATTAGTTTCAGCTAGTGACGGCTTAATGACAACATGAAAAACTAATCACAACTAATAAAAAAAAGCATGTTTAATTCTGACAAACTGATTGACACCATCTACAGAATACAATAAAAATCATGACAATGTCATATCATGATTTGAACAAATGGAGGAGCCCACTCCCACAAAAATCACAACCCCCCCAAAATACCCCCTAAAACCCCCCAAACAAAACAAACCACCAAAAGAAAAAAGGAAAACAAACAAACAAACAAAAAACCCAAACCCAACTGGTTAACAGAGAAAATAGAAATAAAATACAACTAACAACTAATAGTTAGTAGCAGTCAATGAAGGAAATCGGAGAACAACAATGGATAGATCTGGTCTACGGAGCTCTGACCAGTCGGTCGCTGTGACCTGACTGCTGTCAAGCATTAGTATTCTCTCAGATGCAAGCAATAAAGCAACTATTAATGATGGATGTGATTATTAATAATTGATGATTAACAGAAATGAATCTGAAGGAATTTAAAATTCTACAAATAATTTGGTTTAACATAAACTCTGGGCCAAACAAAGTTTCTTTTATTCAATAAATGTTTATTGCTTTTTCATTATTCTATTTACAAACAACATGGAATTTCTTGGCCTCATGATACAAAGCAATACTGTGGTCTAGCAGTGTAGGCAACATCATGGGAACCAGAAGAAGGCCAGGCCTTTTGCACTGGCCAACACTTTCCAGTTGAAAATACTATTTTACACATATAGAACACTTATAAAATGCACTTGCATGTAAATGTAAACACTGTAAAATCCTGCCATTTAAAATTCTATACCTCAAAGAGCTCTAAGTACATCAAAAAATAGAAGAGATTTCTAATTGATACCAATAAGGCATTTTAAAACTACAAACAGCTTTCTTTATTCAATTTCAAAGCTAATACTCTGCAAATACAATAAAATCTGACATTTCATATACATTCCTGCTTTATATTTTATATTTTAAAAGAAGCCACCTGTAAATACTATTTTCTTTTGCAAAATAACAAAAAGAACAACAAAAAAAAAACTTTAAAAAATTACAGTGAAACATAAAGTAGTTCTCAAGTGGAAAAGTTCCCGTTCCCATGTCCTTGAGCAGCTCCTTAGCCAGCCTGCCACATTCTGCTCCAAACTTGGTCCACTTAACAGTAGTATGATCTTTAAGACTCATTCAACAGCTTAATTATTTCTACTATATTCTGAGGTTTGACAGAATTCTCTGTACTGTTGCCATTGTGACTAAGGCAGAGGAGATGTGAATGAAAAGATGTTCAGTGCATCAGAGTCTACGCCCCTTCATCAATCAAACCCAGTCGGTGTGATGTCATAGGGTTTAAATGTTTACATAATGGACTTATTTACCATCATATGACAAAAATGCTTTCTCTATTCTATCACTTAGGACAGTTTATAAATACTACAAAAATACTGTATCTTCAGTGTGACCAAATCTTCCCTGAATTTCTTAAAAAAGAATTAGAATCTTATTTAAAATAAAAAATGCTGCTCCAAAATCTTAAATTGTGTAAGTAATGATTCTGGTCAAATCATTACTCAGAAAAACTTGTGATCACGTTTCAATGTGGGATATGTAACAAGGCAAGCCGCCACACTCAGCACTCCTGGAACACATCCTCTGCCAAGCCCTGGCTTCCTAACGGTACTTAAAGGTATGTCAGCTGTGCAAAATCATTTATAGTTCATTACAATTAAAAAGTCAGTTGGTCTTAAGTTTCAAATTCAGTTTTGAAATAGGTACAGAGGTGGAGTTTTAGTAAGCAACTAGCTATCTGTGAACCTTGTGACTAACTACTCTAGCTCATACACAATCACATGGGTATACCCCCTTGGGCTGTTTCTTTGCATCATATGAATGCTAATAATCTCTTTGAAGGATTTTTTAATTAAAAAAATAGAGAAAACAGTAGTATCATAAAATAATTTAAGTGAACGACTTCAGTCATCTCCCTTAGACCCAATGAGTGCATAAGGTAAGTATACAAATAATCTGCTTCTTTAATTTTAAAAAGGCATTTCGGTTTGCTGACATTGTATTTTTAATAAAAAGTGAGAACTAATCACAATAAACACAACTACAAAAGAGCCATGCATGGAATGTGTTTCCTTTTCCAGATAAAATAAAACCTTGGTCTAATATGTTTAACAGTTTGAAGGCACTGGAGCATAAAGTAAGAAATAATCACCGTTAAAAATAAAATTAGAGGACATCTCCTCAAATGAGGCACAAAGGGCAAGAAAACTTAAAAGGAAAAACCACTTCAAAGTACTCTGTAGGAGAATTATTTGGACATTAGCAGTATGACACAGCCTCAAGATTATTTATGGGATTGCCCACTTTCCTTAAATCTAAAGTGGCCTTCCTCCATCCAATTTCCCCATCTCTAGGGGACTTTCTAATACACAATGGTTGACACATTGTAAGGAATACTATCTTCATGGATACTGACCAGTCTGGAATCCATTTTGTTCGATGAATAACTACACACATGTATGCGTTCACTAAACGTCATTAGGATGCTTTCATTGTATGTGCTATCAAATAAATATCATCAGTCCCTCTTGAAAGGGACTATTTTGTTTCTAATATAGAAACCAGCTGTGTCCAGTGTTTATAATGAGTATCCAAGGGCAACCATGTCAAGCAAGCTAGGTCCTTTTCTATCATGCTGGGGGTTCCTATTTTGCAACAAAAAAAACTTAGAAAACAATTCAATGTCAATAAACCGAAATCACTACTCCTCAAATAAGCATAAATAATTTAAAAATGGGTCTAAGGGCATATACAGGACACAAGTCACAAATAATAAAAGGAGAAAAATGAAGACTTATTTTCCAGTCACAGGTCAGTCAGAAAGGAGATCCAGACAGCTGGATCTCTTACACCACAGAGCTTCAGAGACGTTTACCTTCAGGCTATATTTTAGCAGCAAATGACAAAAATCAAAGGATCCATTTTGGCAAGAGAATAAAGGATTAAGAGGGAACTCATTTCTCTAATTTGTAAAAAAAAATGTCCACCTATATGAAAGCTATCTTCACAGTCCCAACTTTGCTGATCTCCGCTAGGCACTGGACACATGTGCCTATGTATACAGCGGCTCAATGTCTTATTAGAAAGAAAATGGAAACGAGATCTTCAGTTCTCTCCAAATTAGACAGGAAGCGAAACTCCTTTACTTCTCTCATTAAAGCACCATCCGTTCAATTCACTTTGCAATACCAACCCCAATTTTCAGAACAATTAAGGTAAATTTTAGCAAAAACTGTTACTAAAAAACAGCTAAGGGAATGCAAAAATTTAATGGTTCCCCAAGTTTACGTTTTAGTAGAACAAATCATAGTATATAATAGAAGATTTAATAAATTAAAATACAAAGGGAGGGGGAAAAAGTCAATCCCCCCCAAAGAAAACAAAACTAAATGTGTCAATTATTAAAATGAATTTAGCAAAGAAAAGAAATGGTGTTCAGGTAAACAGTCACATTTTCCATCAGGTGTGGTGTTGCAATTTTATGGACACCCAACGCATTTCTTATAAACAAGAACTGCAGAACTAAACTAACCTCGGTCTGCGGTCACAATCCTTTGGTAAGGATGGACACGCATATCGTGCCTTCGAACTTTAGTAGCCACCGCACCTAGTTAAATTGCAATTACCAAGACAAAGTTAGAAAACATACATGAGGAAAAAAACATTAACAGCAGGTTTATCAAAATGGTTTTCAAATGTTCATTTACTACAAAAGTTTAAGAAACATGTTAAGGCACAGTAGTTTTAAAATTAACTGCAGTATGTCATGTATATATGCATCTATTAATATTGCATTCATTTCAAACAGGTTGGCCTTAACCGACTTTACCCATTCATTTACAATCCCCAAGTTACAGCATGTCATAGACTCTACTGGAACCAATCGCATTTGAGCTTTACTAGTCACATATTCACTGAAGTGCCTTTCTTGCAGCAGGACTACTTAAATAATGCCACGTTTAATACTGACAATTATTTGCTAACCTTAACTTCCAGAGTTTATTATGTAAAAAAGGTTTAAAAGCAACTTTTAAAGCCTACAGATTGTGGTTTTAAACTTTGAGTCATTAAGTATGAACTGCAATGAATTAGGTGATTAGTAAAGCGAACAGTATAGTACACTTAGCAGTCAGTATACTACTATACACTGTTATAAATTACTGTCACTTTGTAGGATCAACAGACTAAACCAAATCAGTAACATAATTTTACTTTGTATCTATGTGCAAAAGTGCAAGTAAGTCACTGACTGCTAGGCTAAGCTTTTCCTCGAGGCTGCTGAGACTAAGCATTTGTTAAATTCAGATCTGATGAGGGTTCAGTTAAGACCGTTCTTGAATTCTTAGCCTTTCGTTGGGAAAGCCATACCTAAAGATAAAAGGAAGGGAATTAAAAATTAGTCATCAATGAAGATTTGATGCGGACACCAATCTCCTCACTACCACCAACACACATGTCTGCATCTGTTTTGAAGGGCACTGCTTATTTTAAAATAATTTAATGTGAGACTCGATACATTAATCATGCATGTTATCTGTGTGCAAATTAACTGTAACTTGGCAATTTGAAATAATTCCCTCCATTCTCCAAAGGGCCAATCTAGTGTTTTACTGCTCAGGTGGCAAAGCAAGAAATAACTGATCACAAGAGTGTTTTCTTACTTAGCACTCATTAACAGAAACCTTCAAAGTGCTAACTGGGTATCTGCATGTTTTGCTCTTCATTTTGCTAGTTTTCATATTTATAAATTTCCTAACCAACCAACCAACCAACCAAAGCTCGACAGTGAGCAGTCTAATCGAAAGCAGTGCCTCTTTCCTGCCATCTCCAAACCGTAGGATGGTTAACACTAAGAGCACAAACCCTATGGCAGAGCTGGAAGCTGAGCTCTGACAGTGCGGGGGAAGCAGCTGGCAGCTGAGCGCCCCAGGCCTCCAGGAAGTCAAGAGTCCTGACTCCTCAGGAGCAGATGCTGTGGGTGCAGCAGAGAGGAGTTCTAGGGTAGGAGCATGCACGGGGCCACAGGACAGAGTATTAATAGAAAGGAAAACTTTAAGGTTACAGGTTACATGTTATTTTTAAAAATGCTTCAAGAAATGGGCAGCAGAACACAGCCTCTCACCGACATTTCTGTGGTATAATTCTGACCTATAATTATTTTATACAACGATTTAGACAGAAAACATGTACAACAAAATGTATTTGTTCATAAAACAAAAGGCACCTGAGTGCATGCACACACACAGATAACATACAGAGCGCCGTGGCTTTCTTTAAATGAACAATGAATTTTCAAGTTTCAATCTTAATGTCCAGGTTAATTAAAGATTTTCAAATTTTTCAAATCAGTATTAAGCTGGGGGCAGGGACCTTAAAAGACCAAAGTCCTAAAAGTCAACAGCATGCAGCACCAAGGTCATATACAATGGGGCAGGGGGCGTGTTTCAAAATTCTGTCTGGTAAAGCAGTGGGCAGCACAGAACACAGCCCCCACAGTGCCGGGTCCTGTTAAGCAGCTGCTGAGCTCTAGTCCTTCCTCCAGCAAGTCAATGGGCTGGAATGTCAGGCATGACTGGCATTTCAATCCACTCTATAAAAAAAAGGCATTGGTAATGTCTTTTCCAAGAATATCACTTTTTGTTCATGTAAAACCATGCGCTTATATGACTTTCATCTCTGTCTCCAGCATGACTGCATTTAGTCACTCAGTATGTGCTCACCTAGTCCATAATGAACCACTGAAATTACAGAGTAGCAGTCATGTTAATTTGTACTTAAAAGACACAAACTGAAAAACCTTAAGACTGCAACTCTTAACTGCACCCCATTTTAAGTGATCATAAACATCCAAACACCTAACAGTGATGGAAAATTTTTAAATCTCAAAATATAATAACAGATCCTTAAAATGCGTCCACGAGAGAGCAGAAGCTAACTCTGGAGTGAGGGCTGCCAACGCCATGAAGACAAAGGGACGGGATGTAATAAAGCCCAGGAACTCCAGGAATATCGAGCAGCACAAGTATTACCTGTGCAAGAATGTATACGGTAAGTTTGCCCAGAGTGAATCTGAGGTACCAAAGTGAATCAAGGCAGATGAGGGTACAGCTACCTTGCAAGAGAGCCCTTGTGAGGAGCTGAAATACAAACAGATTTAGTTTTCAATCTTTCCTGCTAGAAACTAAACCGCTTCTCTAAAACTGATAAAAATTATCTCAAAGCCTGGGGCAAAACAACTTCTGAAGAAGGCATTAACCACCTAGTACTGGAACAGCACTTACCTAATACACCACTGGGTTCAATAGGGTACTCAAGGATTGATGTAGCTGGTGCCAACGTGTAGGGGTACTCATAGGGGGTGTAGATTAACCCAGCCTCAGGCCCTGGAGGGACTATTGCAGCAGTTGGGTGAGGAGTTCCGTTTGGCATGACAGCGGTCTGTATTTGTCTGATCAAAGGCATTATGGTAGGGCCAGCTGGCGTCGGTGTGCGCAAAGCAGCTGGTGGGAGGACAGGCGCAGGCCCAGTGATGATCCTTGGAGCAGCCTGGGCAGTGGCTGCAAGAGAAAAGGCAAGGGCTGCTACAGTAAGCAAAGAAATTTAGAGAGAAGTACAGGGAGAGCAGTAAGACACGGGAACGTGAGAGGAGCGGGACAAGAAAAGGAAAAGCAGGACAGGGAAAAATAAAAGGAAATCATTAGTACATGCGATGATCACACAAAAATGCCAAAGCACAACAATCAAATGCAATCAGCTTCCCTCTCCCAATGTGATTAGAACCAATGAATGTGTGAACATTTCTTAAAAACCACTGAGAAAACAAGACCATCAAAATGTTATATGGCTCATCTTCGATATATCTGCTTAAGGGTCTGACAGACTAAAAGTCCACGCAAAAACACAAGAAACTACTTGGATTAAAAGATGTTACCAAAAAATAAATAAATAAATGAATAAATGAAGGGAGTCCACAGAAACACAGTCTTGGCACATTTCTGAAGTGTAACTTCAGTTTCAAGTTAAAGAAAAGCTCACTGAATTAAGCCAGGTGAGTATGTTTCCAGCACACTTAGGAACTACTTCCTAAGGAAAGCAATACAGAAAACAGTCCTATTTCTAGATTCATGACTACTAAGGAGTAAACAAAAACCAATCATTTATAAAGTAATTACTGCTAAACTTACTGTGTGCGTATGTTTAGGAATGTTGACTAGAACTTTAAAATTGTATTTCTTAAAAAATTAATATAAATGGCATGTACACTTTAGGTTGTCTCAAACTACAAATTTTATATCCTTTCACTTTCACTACAAAAAGCTATTTTCTTAATATGTACCAAAAAGGGAGAACGTTAAGACTGAAACCAGTCACTGCCCACAGATCTCTGTGAACTCACTGGGAGGAGCTTTGGGGTGGACACATGCAGGGCAAGCAGGGGACAGAGGACCCAACAGAAGGCCATTTCTTTTAGAAATTCTCGAAATAAGCTTTTTAAAATTTTTATTTTTTGCATAAATGTAACAAAATATGCTTGAAGCTTTAATATTACAGTTAATAAACACAGCATTTCTTGAAACCCTTCACCAGAAGAGTAAGTTTACACCCCAAACTTGATATGCTGGCAGACAATTCACTGAAGCATTAAAAATGGGGATTTCAGTCCCACATTAAGTAGTATAATTGCAGACAAAACCACTACAGCCCTGGGCCTCAGGCTCATTCTTACGTGATTTAATGTTGGCATCTCTGTAGGTGCCGTTCAGAATCGCCAGCTCCATCAGCTGCATCTTCTTCAGGCTGTCTTCTCCTTCTGCCTGTATGTGGGAGACAGAAACAGTGAGTGTTTGTTTTATATTTATTATTATTATTCTTAATTTTTTATGTATATGCGTGTATTGCCTGCATGTAGGTAAGTGCACCCGTG